AAGCGATTTAATTCTTTGATAACTTGTCCACTCCTTACTTAATCCTTAATATGGTATCATTTTCAAGATGGCCACCCATGGTAGCCATATTGGATCGTAGCGGCCATTATTAAAACAATGTAATCTGTCCGCTCGTGTTTCTGTTTGCTCTCGAAATATTCATATACAAACAGTTGAAGCTAGGATTGAAAGAGAATCTACGTGTGAAAGTAATTTATGAAATCGAGAGATATGTAGCCTACCTCATAAAATGTTAATCCGATAGTTTAACGTATCTATTATAACTAACAAGAGATTGAGGGGTTTTCTAAAGAAAAAGAATTGGAATGGAGTTTTACTTCCTTCTTTCTGCATCTTATTTTGACGAACGTTTGCACCATACGATAAAGAGTGAAGGCATAACGATCTAAATTTTTTCAACTGTTTTTTAATATTTTTTAATTGAAGGCGTTCTCGGTTTCAATAATCCTCGGCCTGTCATAGTTATCTTTCAATCTCGCCGTATGTCAAGAAAGCAAAGCAAATTTGGGATTCCAGAGGAGTCATGGATTTTTCCACTTTCGAATTAATTCAATGACGCCATTCTTTGATTAACGTCAATCATTGATTGAAATGACGTGACGTGACGTCGCAACTAGTGTTCAAACTGTAGGCCTACTCTGTATTGATTTACTAGTTATATTGTTGTGTTTATAATACAGTTATAAGTGACCAATAAATTCACAAATATCAGCATTAAGTGTCTTTTTTAGATAACAATTCCTTTGGACCTAAAAATAAGATTTTCCTAGAATTTGATTAAATCGAAAGCAGTCAGTTGTTGTAGTAAGGGAGTATCTAAATCCCGAATTGTACCACTACTTTCCAAAATGGACAGTATCGTTCAGTCGTGAGAGAAGGTGTAGGTGTAGTTAAATTGTAAATGCATAATCACTAAGTAACACGACATACAAGACAATGTAAAGGTGTCTAAAAATCATTATCGAATACAAATTAAACAACAATTTTTCGAAAAAATCGACAATATAAAAATTAATGTTATAAAGAACGTCTTACCTTACAGCTTTTACATAGTTCTATCCTTCATTTGGTCCAAAAGTATCCAAATTATAATCCTAGCATAACATATTTATCCATTTGTCACGAAATAAATCTATATCAACAATTCCTACAACCAAATTTCTTTAGAATCTTTGGAAAACATTTCAAATCCTTTCCTTCGATATTTTTTGTTGGAACTTGTAGTCAATGTTGTGATCCGTAGCCTAAACATTTGGGAATTCAAATATTTATATCAAATCTTTGGACTACACCGGAAAAAATGATCCGATGATCCAATTTATGGGTTTGTTGAATACTTTTACCAGCAGCTTTGTGGTTTAGAATAGGTAAAACAGCTAAATTTGTTAGAATATGACGCATTTAAATTTTTGGACTACACTGGAATAACTGATCCGATATAGTACTTCTGAGGTAAAAATCTGGATCCACTGTTCAAGCAATCTTGTGGTCTAAGACAGGTAACAAGCCAAATTCTTAGAATACGACGCATTGAACATCTGTGGACTACGCTGGAAAAACTTATCCATTGTGATCTATCCATGGTGTATTGACTTCTGACTGGATATTTTAATATAACCTACTGAATATAAGATATAAGAGGAAAAATAATGCTGACATATTGCTGTATTTATATATATTACTAATAATCTATTTGTTTCCAACAACAAGTGATAAACAAACTTCGATTTGGTAATCTGTATTTGAAGCTTACCTCATTTTTTATTATTTAACAATTAGTTGAACACTTTGATGTACATGTACATACGTATGTACATATTGTGAAAAATTGAAAAAAATAACCGTGTATACGTATATACTTGTGAAAACTTGAAAAAATAACCGAGTATACGTATACAATTATTGTGAAAAATTAAAAATATAACCGTGAATACGTATATACCTATTGTGAAAAATGGGAAAAAGAATATATACCAACGGAATTTCCATCTGTAATAGGTGCTTACGTCATTATATATTGTGGATACTGTAATTGAACACCAAAATACGTATACCAACGTATGTTTTGTATATTTTTTTTTAAGATTTGATCAAATTATAAGGGAGTTATAAATTTAATGTAATCATAGTTTTGGGTGTATAATATGTTGAAACTTTGAAGTATGTGCACACGGAACTACCTGATTTTACCCTATACGTTTATGGATTAGGCTATATTTAAGGAGTTTTAACTAAGATTCTGTATGTATTTTTGAATTTGATAAGATATATTATAGTCACTGTTATCTATGGGAATATAATACGGACTTTGAGCTCACAATTCTCTGCTCTTTGAAAAACTAAAGATGAGAAACGTGCTGCAGTGTGCAATTAAGGAAACTAAGAGAAGAGAAAAATTTCTACTCTCCTTCGATTTCAATGTATCTATATCGAAACTATATGTAATTCATGGGCATTCGAAGGTTTAATAGACTTTTTTCTAGTCAGATAATATATGAACTAATATTGGTAAGGGTTTTTGCATAGTAAGGGTATTATTTCTGTACTTTAATGAATTTGACGACCTCACTACCTATATTTATACATCCTTGACCATATTGAGGTAAAAATTCATAATAAGAATATCCGGAACGATCAATATCAAATGTTGGAGTTTTAACCCCCACACCTGACAGATTGATAATGTAATGAATGTAAAGTATTTATAATATATTGTATAATGACAAGGATAGGGTTAAAATAATGAATGAAATGAAATGATTGAACAGTGTTATATCACCAGTCAATGGACGGGGCTCGGCCTCATGTGTCAATCGACTGTTTCGTGATAGGCCTATATTTAGTATCGAATAGTAAACTGGACAGTTAATAATATGAAAGGGAGTTTTACATCCCATTTTTCGCATCGGAATAAATAATGCAGACGTGCAATACAAAACTGTCCGCAATGGGGGAAAATTTGCTAAGACGGTTACAGTTAGGGTACTTTTTTTCGAATTCCGACGTCATCAATCACAGGACGCATTGATAGCGCCTTGACGTCGTATGTTTGGTGACGTCATAACATAAGACGATGTATAAAACCCATCTCTCTACGAACTGATTTTATCCCAATACCCCAACCCTTTTAAAATTCTGGTCTATATTCCCAGACGGGGAGGGTTGGTAGGTTATTTGGTCATTTCATCAATCATAACCACTGTCAGTATCTAGCCCAATCCATCAAAATATCCGTCGTTCAATCATCAACTATTTTAGTGTAATTTGTTCAGGTCAGCTATATAGCCTACTGATATAAAATGTCATCATATGATTTGATACATTATATTATTTACCCTACCTTTCATGTGATATCATATTACCAAATACACGAACAAAAGTCAAAGTACAGCAAATTTGAACAGTGCATGTACACAGTAAACTTCAACAATGTTGATGCATGAAGTAGTCTCTAGTTGAATTCAAGTTTTAAAGTTTATTTGACTTTATGCAGTGAATTTTGAAAATTTGCTTATCGTTATCTAAGAGGGTATGCTCATTTTTCCAGCCACCCGATACCACCTTGGGACTGGATCTGTGTATTCAGAGCCTATTTTGTAGAGTGCATATAACTAATAATGTTTTGGTAGGCCACTATACATTATCTGATTTAGAAATGGCCCAGAGTATTGTCCTTGACATGCATATTTTGTTTGTTGATCGGGTTTTAACTTTGATTGTGTAATTTCAACCGACATCTCTTAAAAAGTTTTTTTTTACTAGAAAATTGATTGATCATATATAGTTTATTGACTTTAAATATAAATCACTAAAAGTAGATTATCAAAATAACAAAAAGTTGAGAGGTTTTCAATCGACAATAAGATTACTCTCGAAAACACTGGTTGGGGAATGTATGAATTGGAAGTCATGACACCTAATTATCATCCAATTCGCCAAGTCTTTCATATTCATAAATATGTACTATTGAAGTTTAGGTATTCTGTAAACTATACCGGAGTACAGCAAGGTTGTCCTTTAAGACCCAATTTATTTCTAAACGTTATAAACGACATATGTAAAGAGTAAAATTGGTAGACTTTGTTTACAGAAAGGTGTTATACTGTATATCAAAATGAAAGTAAACTTCCATAAAATAGTGTTTATATATTATTGACCTATGCCCTTTGACCTTTAGAGATCAGATCAGTCTCCGATTCTACGATGTTCATAACTCACAGTTTACTTCATTACTGGAACCAATTTTCTTCTTGGAAGACGGAAACGAAACATTTGGTAGCTGTTTTTAACAAATAAAATACTCTTCCCAGATTCCCCTCCTTTATCGTATATAACACAGCAACGTGACATGGTGGCAAATCAAAATCGTGGCAGCGTCACATCGTAGCCTGGTGGTAATTTAAAATTGTGCAGACGTCACAGTTTCAATTTGAAATTGCGGCAATGTGGCATTCTTGTAATAGTATTAATATTTGAGGTAAAACTGCTAGTAATTTCGTGCAATCAAATCATTTGTTCAGGCGCAAACATTTTTGACTTGATGAATGTGATTCTAGTAGCCTGTACATATATTGCCGAAAGGCGTTTGTCAAGTATTACTGATCCAAAGAAACACAATTTTTGCAGTCAAAGACTTTGTAATTCCGACAGCTATAAATTATGAATTAATAACTAATTACGCATTATGATTTTACGAACTCAAGCAAATCGCTATTTTTCATAATTCAAATTCGACCTTCAATTTGAAAAAAATATTGTTGTGACCCTAATAGCCATGAGGTCGAAATGATTTATATTTGGTTACGTGATATATGTATACGATATAACATAATAAAAATATGATCTGACTGGTGAAGCGAAACTTATTCAATGGTAATATATCATATTAATGGCGGGCGTATATTGAATATATTGATATATAATGTCCATGTTAATTTAAAATTTTGATTGTAATTCTAGATGTATTTTAATATTTTCAGGTATTATAATGTTTTTGTCATGGTATACGTTTTCCAAAGATGCTATAGTAATAAAAGGCTACGCCAGTGATTTATATCTGTGTATGAACAATTCCTCCATTATTTATGCCTCGGTACGTGAGTTTTTAAATCCTTTTCTGTCTCAAATTACCCTATCACTCTAATTTGATCTGTCTTTTATATACTTAATATCAATTAAACTCATTCTGTTAAATAAAGACTAAGCTAATTTGTAGAATAATAACAGCATGTGCTGTTTAAGAGAGCCCTGTCCGATACACGCAACAAGTCTGGCAGAATTTTTATGTTAAAATTTCCATAAACCATAGGCCTATATATGACTTCTGAAATATTTTTTTTGATGTGATGATTTGGTGACGTCATACATCCTATAATACAATGCAAAATTTTATATCGTTGTTATTACTGATATCCTTACATGTGTTTTGTTTCTATAATTTCAGAGAAATGTGACGAAAGATTGTGCTTTTATGCAACAACTGACGAAGGATAAATTGTATGACGTGTATTATCATACGAACTATAAGGAAAAACGGAAAAAATTCTTCTTAGGCATCGATCACTCAGGAAACATGAAACCCGGGCTTTTTGCTACCAAAACTCAAAAAGTTTCTCAATTCATATCCTCGCCTACAACACAAATTGAATTACAAAAGGCGACCAAAGCGAGAAAAAAACTAGCCAGGAAACCGCCGTCAGTGTTAGTGACTCCGAAAAATCGCCGAATTAGTGATCCGGTAAAAATTGAAAGAAATAAACGTAGACGCAGACGTAGAAATTGGTGTAAAAAATTACGCAGAATCCGAAAAAATCCTCAAAAATATATAGATCGCTGTAAGTATCATTGTGGGATTTTACAGAAGATGATAGACAACATTAAGAAACATAAAAAACGTTGTGAACGAGATCGCAAACGACGGCGACGAAAACGTCCACGTCAGCGAAAATCAAGGCGGCGTTCGAATCGTTCAATACGTCACCGTAAGAGTAAACGACGTTCTCGACGGGGTCGTAAACGCAAGACAATATGTGGTGATCAAATACGCAGAGGGCGTTTAGGGCGTCGTCAGCTGCATAAATGTAAAATAGAGACAGCCAAAAAACGCCTGCGAGAAAAACTTGAAGGGACAACACAGTCTACGTCTTCAAATGTACCAGCCAAGACACAAACGGACCGAAATATACAAACTTCAAGTGCATCGTGAAATATTTGTTTTGTTGTGTATGTGCGCGCGTATGTATGTGCTAAGTATGTGTATAATGTTATTCAATGCAAAGAAACGCTGTGCTGCTCCGGAATAAAAGAGGTGCCGAGGCTAATTCTATATTTTGTACAGCTGATAGGATGTGTTTTCAACTTTGTTTTCAAGATTTGATATACATGTAGTTTGTGGTTGTTATGCAAATGAAATTTAGTTTAAAATACGTCATGAATTTATCACGTCATTTAAATCTCAACTACGTTGTGGATGACGTCATCAAATTCGGAAGGTTAAGAATAATTTAAAGACGAAAATATATGACTGGAATCCTTATATTCGTCCGAAAGGCTTCAAAGATATAGAATTAGTCTTCTCATCTCCTTTATAATGAAAATAATAACTGTTATCATAATAATGATAATAATAATATTTGCGAATTTTGTATATTAGATTGTCTAGACTTAGCTATTTATTATTTTTAATTATTGTGTATGGACTCACATTCAGAGACGATTTGGAGTTGTCGATAATTTTGGAATCTATTTATAGTTGTGAGCTGAAATTTGATTGGACAATAAGGGGACAAGGCATCCAATCAGAGCTATCACGTGTCATACCGTCCATTGTCGTTTTCGTACCCATTCAGTTACATACGTACATTGTTACGTTTTAGTTTCGAATGTAGCCTACTGGTTGTGGGGTAAGAGATTGTTTGTTGGAAGAAGACTCAAATTTACTGCTTCAAAATTTTAATTAGGCTACCAAGTAGACGGCAGCCTGAGACTCTCGAAAGCACTAGCCGTGTTATCAGAAATGTATGTAACTGAATGAGTGGGAAAGTGACCTATGATATATCTCCTATCCCTCTAGCCCCACCCCACCCTTTGTTCAACGTATATACCGGGTCTGTCTTCATATCATTTCATTATTTTCGTGCCATAATCCACGTTTTCATCACAAATTGGATTTTTGCAAAAAACAAAATCTTCAATGAATCACTTTTAAAATGTTTTTTTTTTTATCAAAAAAGTATTGGAAATTGTTTCGTTTTCTGTTTGGTTCGGTTTAGCAATTTCGTACAAACCTGAACAGAAAACGAAATATCTTTTTGATAAAATGACCAGAAAAATTCGTACATCCTTAAATAGAGCGTTTTCTTTTCGTTGTAGCGAAATCAACTATCAAAGAGAAATTGTGATCGAGAACAAAATATTTTTGGAAACGAAAATTGATTGTATAAAGTGATCTTTCGATTTACTATGGTAGTGTGAATTCAGTTTAAATATCGCGGACTCTTTCCTGGTCTTATGTAGTAATTTATTGAGAGATGTCGACCAGATTAAGTCAGAAAAACTATTAATTTGTGCTACACAATGTTCGTTGTTCATATCATTATCATATTTGTTAAAATGCTCATTTTTTCATCTAATTATTAAAATCATTTATTATAACTTTGTTCATATCATGATATTTTGCAGTGGAATTGTTACAAGTTTACATAATCATGGATAATTTCAACCCGATTCAAATACAGCTTCAATATTTCGTTTTGTTTTAAACGTTTGAATTTTGTACGGTATCTTACTATGAGTGAGAACAACCAAATGATAGAATGAAACGAAATATGGAGGTGTTTTATTTATCAGATTGTGTCTCTAGTAGCTCTTAAAGGTGTATTCTCAGCATGCTTCAGATTTGCGCGGCCATTTTGGGGAAAATTTTTGCTTGAATTAAGATGTTTTTTTCAAATTCATCAAATTCATTCAACTTTCAGGGTAATTGATCACAATGCTTCTGAACTTTATTTGTCAATTTGAGAGTAGGAATTGGTACCTGGGTACTGATTTTGAATACATGTACCAACAGATACATTATAAGCTAGGGAGTCCAGGCTAGCACAGAGTCGCACAGTTTATACTTAACAGACTTAATTTTAGGTCATCTAGACAACCAATTACGCAATATCTGAAAGTGTTTTTTAATTCCAAAGTTAATGCGACCCCAAAATAGAAATGAATTAACGTTTTGCTGTATGGGTGACATAAACTAGGACATTAAACTATAGACGTTCTATTCAAATAGAGTTTGACTGAATAAGCTGTTCGTATATATTTTGGTCATTTGCCAAACTGTTCTATACAATAGGGTACTGTATATTGACCAAATATAAAGTCTCCTTGTCCCTTGGCTTCAAACATTTCGACTTTAAATTCTCTACACAAATATTCTAGAGTTTATGTAAGAGTTTAGCTAGTCTGCTACTCAAATATTCTACTCTTTGCATAGTTTTTGAGAACCAAAACATAAAATGATGTTTAACTTAGTTACTGTGACATCTTTATGAAGTACATGTACTTGAAAATATCCCGGTTGAATTTTACTGGAAATTGTGGGATTACATATGGCGCCAGTCAGGGTATGGTTACTCTACTAGACACCTGATACCACTTTTCATTATGAAATACTTACTCACTTATGATTGATATACTTCCTAATAGGCTACTTACTTTATTTATTTATGCGAATTCATAAAAAGAGACAGTTTTAGAAAACAGAATGCGAAAATTGAGTTAATTTGGTTTATTCTTAAAATACAGGGAGAGCCTTTTTGGTTTTGTATCTTCCAATCGGCGATTGGTGTTCCAAAACTGCAAGCACGTCTCAAAACTACACAGGTTTTCAATACCGCTTGAAAACACCACTGCCCGAAAATACATTGACCCTTCCTACGTCAAATTTAGGCAATCGTAATTCGAGTTTAAATTGAGACGAATTAACGGAATGTTGAGAATGCTCTGGATATCCGAAATTAACAGATGTATTTCATCATTTTGTCACTCAAATAGAGTAGCCCAATCTAATGTTACCTATTATTCCTATTATCACTTACGCAAATGTGTTCGCAAACAGGAAATATGATAATGAACTTCAGAAACTTAAAGGATGACCAGGCACATAGATTCGATTTCAAAATGTTGTCGAGAATAACTTTTATGTTGTTATGTTGTTCAATACACGTCATCACATCTGCGACGTCATATTTCTAAAACAAGTGACGTCGTATCTCTCAGTGGTTAATTCATAATTTATGATTAGTTTGAAAGACATCGGCCTTGTGTTCTGGGAATCAAGTCTCCATGAGAAATATTCATATTAATATATGTACAGTATGTAAAGTCGTGTTCATTGTACCCATTAGAATCAGTTTAAAGAAGATTTTATAGCAGGAGTCAGCTGATAGGTCAATCACTGAATTTCAATTATATTAAGTTTAAATAAAGTTTAAAGCGGCCAAAATATTTTATTTTACGAATACTAGTTAGTTAACATTCAACTATTTTCCACCCTTAGGTTCAAATTATACATTTATTCTTTCGTCCTAACAACCACCTCTACTAAAGACATCTAAAATCAACGACTGCTCATTGTGAGAACCATTTTGGTTTTAATGATGGAATTTAGAATTTTAATTTCTCTTTAATTCAAGAACCCAGTATACACTTCTGCATAAAGTTATTTTAAAATAGGTTCATGTACTTAAAGGTATTAACAGTTTCCTTTTACCGATAATCAAAAGTTTAAATGTCTCAAGATTATATTATTATAGCCAAGCTACAATTTAGCATCTGACGTCATGTGAAAATACGTTGGTATAAGATGACGTCACAAATGATGACGTTAAATACGTCATTAAAATGGTGTCTCTGTAAACACGATTATTTATGTCATGCTAATGTATTTGTAAAGAAATGAACAAAACACTATTTTCTAAATTGATTTTTTTCTTATTCATCAGATATTTGTGTTTGTGTCAAGCACATTGAAGTTTTATATTAAGTGGAGAGCTCCTTCTTGGTTGTTACTTGGTCATAGCAGAGCTGGATATCATTGTGATCCTTGGTGGTCTATGAAGACTTTGTTTTAAGGCTGCACCAAGACTGCACATCGTCTTGTACATCACGTGCAATATTATACTGAAACATCTGTCACTATTCCTGCCTCTGATAGCAATTAATCCAGCCGACAACAGTAAAAATAGCTCTGAGAGGCTGGACTAGAGGCAGATGTTTCGGACTAATGCAATATCTGCCGGCACGTCTTGTTAGATATGCCATTTGGGTCTAAAACTCCCTTTTAATATGAGCCAGAACTATATGGGTGGGCTTCTTTAAAGTGAATATAGTAAAGAACACTAGACATTAGTTTACGTCTTCGTGTAGTTTTTAGGCAAAAGTCCAAACTTCTGGTTGGGATGGCAAGGTTTAATGGTGAGAGTCGAAGTCTATGAGTTTCTTACATAAGGCCTGGTAATCTTTCCAAAAACACAAGAATCACATCTTCAAACGATGACCCCGCATAATCTACAGTTCAACATTACCATATCTACAGCCAGGATAAGCTTTCGTTTGTTAAAAACCTACAAAGATGAAAACTGAACAGAAAGTCTTGTACTCTTAGGCATTAAACAATTTTCACAATGGATTTACCGTCACTTCAATAATGAGAAAATTTGACGTTCACAATTCGACAAAAACGGTTTATACTGAGGCTATTTACTGACGCTCTTACTTTAATTGTGTCGTCGAATATGATTTTTTCAATTTCCAAAGCAAAGATAACTCTTAAAGAATAACCACGATTTCGTGTATTCCAAACTATTTATGTATACGACAATTGTCAAGAGTTGGCTATTGAAAAACACAACAAATGTTGCTGTGCTGACAAACTTTTCTCCATTGCGCACTGAATAGGCTACCGTCGTCTGCACTTTTCTAACAGCTCAATCTGGAGATGTCTGTAACTGCTCAATTCATTTAGAAGTTAAAAACACTATAACCCTGGCCCCCGCTCCTCTTATACGATAAGAATTTGTTGAAGTGTTGGATTTGACATTTTGAAATATCATACTTAAAACAAAATTGATTTTGAGATTTTTTTTTGAAACTTGAACTGAATCTGAAGTTTAGTGGCTATAATTTTAATATAAATTGACAACATAATTA